TTCAATCCGTTGCAAACCGGAGTAAAGTTGACTAATCTCGAGTTCAGTGAATTGTACTCTGGTTAGATTTCAATCTAATCTCGATCTCGAATCCGTCGTTTGATACGTGCTTAAAAACGACGAGATCGCTCGCGGCGTTTCGAAGGCGAGAGACTCGCGTGTCGATCGCCGAGGATCGTGGAAGAAAAAAGGAGGCGGCGGAGGGCGGAGGGAGATCTTGACGCGCGGAGCGTGGAATCCTAACGGCACTCCGTGTACGCCGCGTGCGCGTAACGCAAAGAGCGCGGATTACACCTGCCCGCGTGGATCAGCGGCGAAACCGGTGCCGGCGTGTCAACCTCGGCCTTTCGACGAGAGCGCGGAAAGGGAAAATTAATCGCTCCTCCCTTACTTCCTGCGCGGCTGTCGTGTTCTCACGACGTGTTCATCGGGGCTCTTTCGGCCCGACGACAGGACGACCGACGGCAACGTGTCTTGCGGGGTTTTTCGCCGGGCCGACGCGACGTGCCGCGTCCACGCGGATTCCGTTCCGCCGTAAATCGCGCGTGACGACGTTCGGCATTCGCCGGTTTGTTCTTTGTGTGTGTGTGTGTGTGTGTCTTTTTTTTAAATCCGAATCGAGCGGTCGACCGCCTCCGTAACTCGCCCGACCGGTGTCCTCGGAATCCGTGATGCGTCCCTTTTTAGACCCGCGGACAGGTCGGGTACGCGCGAATCCTTTGTGTGCGGAAATTCCATTCGGGTCACGAACCGCGCTCGGCGCGAATTGATTTCTCACCGTACTGTTTTCCTTCCCCCGTACTGTTCGATCTTTCGCGGACACGCGGCGCTCTCCCGATTCCGCGGGGCAAGAGGGGGAAAAGAAAATGTACGATACAAAAAAAAAGAGAAACAGAAACCAGACAATTGTGCGGGCCGCGCTGAAAGGGCTATCTGCCGCGTCGTATCTTCCTGCGACAATTGGAGCGGTGCCGTCGCGACAATAATGCGCCGACAATGACGGCTTCCGCGGAACCGTGAACAACCGTGGAGCGGAAACGTTTTGTCAGCGGCGAACCCTCGATTGGCCGGGCCGCTGCGCAAAATGATTCGCGAGAGGAATACTCATAAACGCGTATAATCGTCCTCTCTCCCGTCCGCTTAATTCGCCGCGCAGCGCCTCGACACGGGGCGTGGATAATTAATCGGTGGATGAGCGATGGCGAAGAGAGAGAGAGGGAGAGGAGGCACGGGTTCTCCGTATTACCGGCTGGATGCGTTATTCGGCTGTTTAAATAATTCCAGCCCGACCGAGGACGGATAAGACGAGATTGGTCCCGGCTCCGAGGTACTTCCTACATCGTTAAACGTTTCCTCTCTGCCGCGCCGCCACTTGACGTCGTACGCTGGAATCGGGCTTGGCGTATCAATTATCACTCCCACTCCCCCACCTTGTTGGCCCGTTAAGCCGTCATTAAATCCTCTATCCATTACGATATCGTGCGCATTGCTACGGCATCGCGAACAGCGTTGCGGCAGGTCACGCACGCACGTACCCGACTGCGAAATTCCGTGTCCGACATTATATCACGCGTTACGGAGTCTGTCAGTCGCCGCTGTCCCACGTTCGCGCTATTGATTAACGAAAAGTCGGACCTCTCGCTTTCTCCGAATTTAGAATTCAATCAAAGAACCGGTCTCTACTCCCCGACGCGAGAGGAGGATCGTCCGTCCGCCCGGGGGAGAAACGCTTTCGAGTCGTTCTGTCTCCAATCCAGCCTCCCTTTTGCGCGAGTCTATTAATGAATTAAAAACACAAATGGCTCTAAATATAGTAATCACGAGTCGAGGCCGTAAGAGTCAGATTAAATAAGTTCGCTAAAACTAGAGACCCTCTGATCAGAGTCTGGCCAGCAGAGTTGTCCGCCATGTTTAGTCAAATCCAACGAGAGAGAGAGAGCAGTACGAATATCTCACCCTCTCTTTAAGCTGCCATCAGATCGAGACGTAACTTAAAATATAACCGCACATCGCACGAAGTACGATAATAGTGTAAGTTTGCTGTTTATTGCAAAAATGGGTGGATGTGCAGCACCATTTTGCAGTAACACCTCGACAAAGGGATACGCATCAAAATAATCAAAATCAATCACGATAACCTGTTGTTTGTGAAACTATAAGGGTGGATTGAAATTGTCAATTCAAAATTCAGTGGGAATATCATGAACATGGCGAACCAATCAGAGGCTGGATACCGCATGTCCGGACTCCGATTAGAGGGTCTCTAGCTAATATATTTAACTTTGCGCACTTAAATTCTAAAATAACGATAGGAAGGAAGCGAACGTTTTCGAAACCATTTTGAGTTCATCTTGCGCGTGGTCTCGAAACGTTCGCTGCTCCCCTATCGTTATTTTATAAGTCATCATACACAGCTCACGACACTCTCGATACACCAAAGAAAGATCTCTTAAAAATTCAATCAAATCGATCAATTGGCGTTTGATACCATCTGCGCATGCTCAGTCCACCGATGCGCTAGTATGATAATATTGTTGCGCCTGCATAAAGACGGCCCTTCCGCGCTCGGGCTGAAGCGTGGCCTCTCTTCTGGAAACGTGCGTTCCTTCACGCTATTGATTATTGATTGGACTCCGGCGAATGTTTGCCGGTTTTGGGGCGGAACGGCTCTGTACGAATTCGAGACTAAAGATCCTTATCGAGTACTTACTGGCGTGTTGTTAATTCGCGGCACACCCGGGATAATATGTAGCCTATGTCAATCCCGAGATGCTACAGAAACATCTGTCAAAATTTCAATCAAATCAGTCGAGCGGTTTTTGAGATCATAGCGCGCGAACAAAGAAAGAGGCTACAAGCATATCTCTTTATGATAATAGTGGAGAAAAGTTCTCTGTTACGAGATAGGATTCTAACATGAGATAGTGGGTTTTCAACGTCCAAATTCAATCGCGGATCTTTTTTCGCAACGATTACACGATCTAACAATGAATTTTTCACCAAACGGATTTCACTCCAAGGGTAATTTTCACGGTGGGACCAACAGATGATGCCTATTAATTTAGCAGAAACTCCGCTGTCTCATATTAGGAGCCTAGCGCATAATAGGAGACTTTTCTTTATGTTGTTTTAGCGGACTGTCTTCAATTTTATTAATTTTGACTCTCTTATGGCCTGGACTTGTGATTATTAACAGATATTTAAAGGCACTTGATCTTTTTTTTCAATCCCCGTCGCCGCCGAAAGACGGAGAGACTCTCCGTCGAGGAGAACGGATTCTCTCCTCCCCGAGTGGCTTTCCAGCGGCGGCGGAAGTTGGGCGGTGTGAAACGAGCGTATTATCGTGTAAACGGATATGCCACGGAACCGTTACGGTTACTTGAAGCCGATATGCCCGGTGCGCGAGTAAGCCAGCCGGTTTCGCGTCGGCACGAGCTCCCTCGGAATCACCCGTCGCCGTAAAAGCGTCGCGCGGATGAGGAGAGAGACCGCTCGGAATTACCGCTCGCGCGGCCGTTATATCGATTACAGGTTGAGCGAGCAATTATGCAACTTGTCATTGCCTTTGTAAACACACGCCAGTCGACGGACTCATTCACCGCTGCCTTCGAACTTCCGTTGCTGCCGTTCAACAGCTCGAGTCCCGCACGAAACGACCGCCACTCGCGGGGGAACACGATCGCTGAAACTGTTCAGCGGGTTTACCGTGACGTTGATTTCAACAAGGACACTTCCAACCCGTTCTCGTCCGCGTTCGTTTCTCGGGATTGTTACATTTTGCTTACGAAACGTGCTTACACTTTACCGATCTCCAACGGAAGAGGATCGCAGACCGCCTTGCTCTCTTTTCTTCTTTCGCCGGGTGTTAGAGCTCGCGGGTTTACCTGTTCGCTCGTTGCCGGACCAACCGAAGCGAAAACACCGAGGCAAGAGCAAAACCAAGCCGAGGTCCAGTTATACCCGGGGAGAAGAGGGGGCCCATGTCGAAGACACGCTCGGCATAGTAAGCGGAAACGTAATCGCAAAGCCTAGAGGGGCGGCTATGGCCTCTCGCCTGCGAAGAACGGAGTTGGCGCGAAGCTATGCGTACGCTATGTGCCTGTTGCCGGGTTTTTTCTTCCTCTTTGCTGCCGATCGTGACGCGATTAGATAGGAGGGAAGCGTGCCCCCTCGTTGCGTGTTAATCGCCGGAAAATCGCGCGCATTTTTTGCATAGCTCGACCGCGCCGTCGACCTCCGGCAGAAAAATGGGGAAGCCAGAAAGGGGAGTGAGAGAGCGGCGCTGAACCCTTCGCATTTCCTATAACGAAGTGGCGGCGAGATGGTTCTCCAGGGCGATCGTGGTTGGCGAACCGTGCTCTTGGAATGGCCGGAATTCTGTAGATAACGCGAATTGATTGTACTCGATCAGCGTTTCTCAGTTCAAACTGATCGCGACCCCCCAGGGAGTTCGCGGTAACACATCGTGGGGGTCGCGAAATAATAATTTTATCAAATTTCTTACACGAATTTTTCTTTAACTGAGCCCCGCTCCACCCTTTTGTATTTTTGCAGGGAGTATTAATTTTACTTTTCTTACGTTTGGTGGGTCGTGGGGCTAAAAAGTTTGAGAAACACTGTATTAAACACTGTGTCAACGATGCTCTCTTAGACCAAGTGCTGAGGACCAATGTTTAACCTTTTCATAACCACCGAGACATACAAGTCTCACACGACTTTAAAAGACTCAACGATTTAGCACGCATCCTATTACTGAAAAAACATCATCAAACACTTGAGCACAAAAATTAAGAGTAATATTAAAAATTTAGCCAAACGCAAGATTAAGTCGATCGTGAAAAGCGTTGATACTGGCTTATTCGAGATCGAACTGGACCGCAAAGGGTTCGCGCGGAGCTTCGCTCGTCGTCGCTGCATGCATTGCCGGTTCCCCGTAAAAGACGATAACGGCTGGAAAGTTGATCCGCTCGTCTCATTCGCGTCTCGTATTTCGTTTGCAGATGCTTCGGCAGAACTACCTCGCCCTGGGAGTGTTCGGCTGCGTCCTCCTGCTGTCGGCGACCACCGCGGACAACAGCGTGCACATACTGTCCAAGTACGGCCACCAGCCGCTCACCTCGACCACGCTCAAGTGGCTACCGGTGGCGCATTACAACCCGAGCGAATTGAAGGAGATAGTCATCGGTGGCGTCGAGAACGCCGGCGAAGGTAAAGGTGCGACGACGATGCTCCCGGATCGCCGCGATACCGCGATGCCGAGTATTCGGGCCGAAGGCGGACGAGCAGCTTGCTTCAGATGAGTGTCGCTGTGTCGATGACGCTGTCCGCACTCATCACAAGCAAATTGTTCACTCGTGTTTGTTCGAGTTTACTCCCCTTGGGCCGGCTGGACTTGGACTTTACGTCTATGTACTGTTAATTGCACTACGCGACATTACGTCAGAGTTAAGTTGCGCTTGTTTACGCTTCATTTAGAAATCAAGTCGCTCGGGGACGCGCTAGATCTAGATGGTAGCGAATTGATAGAGACTGTTGCCCTCGCGCGCCATTGCCGTTGGCGTCAGAGTCTCGACCTCTGCATTTTCCGTCGCGCGAGACACAAAAAAATTAAATCGTAAGAATTAGATCGCCCAGCGATTGATGACCAATCGTCTCCACGCGGACTTGTTGCAGACGACAGCTTCGTTAATCAAGCGGAGGCGAGGAGGTCGGCGCTGTACGTATGCCGTGCGATGCACAATGGCGTATGGGTGGCCGGCACGCAAAAGGAAAAGGAGAGGGTCTGCACTGTGACGATACACGGCGTCGTGCAATCGTACGAGAAGTACGAGCTGCTGGAGAACATCGACGGGGCGGCGCGGATCGCGTGGGTCCACTGGAACAAGTACATGCAGCCACACCTGGGAGCGGTGTACGTCGACAGCATGCTGGTGGCCCGGTACGAGGTCCCCAAGGACAGGAGGAAGCCGCGGTACAGCCACTACATCGGCACACTCAACTCGGGCGAGAACTTTGGCACCATCGTCTACGTAAACGAGGTGAGTGACCAAGATCGCGGACTCGTAATTCAAATCTTCCGAATTGGAAGAGGGACAATAGTGCGTTGACATTTTCCCGTCCTGGCAAAAGTTCAAACGCAGATACTGTCGGTGTCGGAGAACACAGACGCTCCAACAAGTTGAATTCCGGAATTGCGAATGAATAAACACGAAGAAGATCTTCGATTCTCACAGCGAGCTGCCAGCGCGATATACAGGATTGACGTACAGAAATGTCGCCTCGTCGATCCTGAGAATTCTTTTTTTTTCCTTTCTTTCCAAAGAGTTGATTAAGTTCGTGGCAGACATGCGTCGCGTCAACGACAGCGCGATTACTTTGCCGAGGTAATAGAGTTGCCGGCGGCGAGCGGCGTGTGAGACTCTGTTCTCTTTCGCAGGACGGCAAGGAGGAGTCCACGAAGTACGGCGAGCTGCTGGTGGAGACCGAGCCGATCCGTTACGAGCTGAGCGCCGTTAAACTCAACTGGCTTAAGAGGCGCGATATCAAGCGCGTACCTCGTGTGCTCAACAAGGCGATGATCGTCAACCGCGGAGCGCAGCCGGCGAATCTGGCGGAGGCCTGCGCGTACAAGTACAAATACTCGGTCTACTGGGGCCGCAGGCACGCCATCCTCAACGGTCTGAGCACCACGATCACGCTTATCAACGGCACGTCCTTGCCGAACATAACGTGGGGTACGCGTGACGAGGAGAATCGCACGGAGGCTTACGAGTGAGTATCGTTTCAAACTGTCTCGCGCGCGCAACGGGGCTGAACGGTAAGTATGCAAATTTAGAGCTTTTCTCTACGAGTTATCCGGAGATAAAGTGTCCCATTTATATTCTAAAAGATCACGCGTAGAACGACGGCAAGTTGACATTTAATTTCTGTTTTTACGGAATTGCCACTTTAGATAAATCCTATCTATCTCACCTTCTGGCTTCGCGTGTATAAATTACGAACGTCGTAATGATGAAGCGTCAAGCCTCGCATCATCGCTTTTGCGGCGAATTAGCGAGAGAAGTATCATCGTGAGGACTCACGGCGCAAACTGACGATACGGGATGTTCGATGAGTCATAAGTCGGACAAGCGTGTACGATTTGCAGCAATTTAGTCCGTAATCTCATCTCGTATCTCTATAATTAGATATAATTAGAGCTCAGGTTTATTCCGCGACATAATCGTGTCCCTTTCTCTCTCGCTCGCTCTCTCTGACTAGCCCCTCGGGGCACTTCATCGCTTCCTGTGCATCATTGAAGCTCGCGCGCGGCAGAGATGAGCCTGGAGTGCACTTTGCACGACGACTTCGTGCCACCCTTCCCGCTCGGTGTGCCCCAGAATACTCCGTCGTGCATCAGCTTAAGTGATGCTTCAACGCAACACAATTACGATCGTGCATCGGACTCGCGTTCCAGTAGTCCAGCGCTAAGTTAACGCGTTATTCATCCTCGAGGCAGTCCTTGGCAATTCAGGACGTGTCCTTACATAAATTATAAATTGACTGAATTGCCAATTAAAATTTTTGTTAGGCGCAAAATGGCGTGACGTTGTTACGAGAGGAGAGACACACGCACGGTGTATATCGCGGGGACCGATTTCTACATTGAACCGACGAGCTTGACTGTATCCTCTCGCGTGTCTGTTACAGCGTGCAAGTCTATCTGGAGCCTGGCACAGGCGTGAACGTGACTCTGAAGGCCGACTACACGGACATGGAGGTGCCGTACACCGCGACGTTGATCTCGCACTACGAGGACGGCGCGACGACGACGCGCGTTATCAGCGGCACGCGGCAGGAGGAAACGTTGTTAGACATCACGGCGGAAATGGGGCCCATCTACTTCCTAGGCAATTTCAGCCTGATGCCGACCACCGTGCCGCCGCCCACCACGACCACCGAGCCACCGACCACCACGACGACGATGATGACGACGACGACGACGGCGACGACGACGAAGCAGCCGCAGGAGGCAAGCCGGGCGACGCACCGGCACCGAACGGACGACGCGTCGGACACGATGGACCACGACGAGAACCTGATTCTACCGCCGAAGAAGACGGACACGTCGACGGGCATGCAGAGCGACGACGGCGGTCCGCTGTCGCTCAAGGACAAGGTGGGGCTGATGTACTCCGGTGCTACATCCACCGCGCTCCAATCGAGCCTGCTGGCGCTCGTGGTCCCGCCGCTGCTGCTTTCGATCCTCCACAGAATCACGTGAAGGCCCGATCGCGCGTTTGCCGTCGCCACCGCCGTCGTCGCCTCTAAACGTTAATTCCTAATTCCCGCAATAGTAACGTATGATAATATAACCCAGTAGACGACACAGTAAACGAAAACGGAAAAAGGCAAAAAAAGAATTACAGAGAAAAAAGAAGAAAAAATATATATATATATTATATCTATATACGCGGAAAGAAAATTGCTGTAATTTCGTACGTAGCGATTGTCGCGCGAGTGACCTCTTTATTTCAACACACACGTACATACACGCATCGCAGTGACGCGGTGCTGATATATGCTTGCCTTTAAAGAAGAAACTCGATATTTAATACATAATATATCTATATTATTATATACGTACACACACACACCCACACCCATACACACATACATGCGTCTTAGGGTAGCGGAGGAGAGAACGAGAGGAAAGTATCTTCGCGATTGAGAACAATGGAGCTAGTCTCACGACGATGAGTCAAGTACAAGAGCGAGATCGCAGCGACCGATGTGCGAGGTGAATTTTACCTGGCCGCGAAACGTTCACCGTTATACTGTTGAAAAGCCGACCGCATAACATTCCGTCTTTTTCTAATCCCGCTGTGAATCGACTTTCCAGCTGTAACGTATGTCTTATGCCTTCGCGTAACTTTAGGACCTTTAGGGAGACCAGTCGCTTCAAAGGACGGCGTGTTCTTTTTATTTTTTAGAACGGTTGAAGAGAAAGAAAGAGAACTTGTAAATGCCGCGAATAACGTCTTGGACGAGTTAGGTAGCGTATACGTCGAGTCGGGAGGCGAATAGAAGTTAAGCAACGGAGAAAAAACAAAGAGAGCAAGATATGCGTGAGTTAATTCAGCTACGATATATTTTTGAGAATGCCGTATAATTTTAGAAGATTGTAAAATTTAAGGATAGCAAATAAGAGAGCAAACCATATAAAGTGTAGGACTGGATGGGTACAGTTTTTTTTCCCCCGCGATACTGATTTAGTCCCAAGGCTGTTACAGCGAGATGACAAACGTGCGAGCGAATCGTAACTCCAATGCGTGATAACCGTCGTAATGTCGTGTCGCGATAACGTTAGGTGACAACAATCGAACTTACGATCGCAGAAAATTTATGAAATATTTGTTGACGCGTGTCCTTTTGGTTTCAAGCAGTTCGATAAACGACGCGTACCCATCCGTCGCCAGTGTGCAAAGTGATAGGACTTGCAGGTTTCTTAGAGTACTGTTGAAGAAGATTGTAACGATAAAAGGGGGGGGGGAGGAGAACCATTGGTATATATATAATATAAATAGCTGAATAATCCATTAATAAGGAAGAGAATAGAATATTTTGGTACCGCGCGTGCGAAGTATAGAATTATTGAGTTGGACACGTTTCGTGGAAAAAAATTTTTTTCCGAGAGAGACTCAGGCGACGAGGACGGTCATATTTCATACGAGGTTGCGTTGTCAGCGTTTTTACCGAAGAAGTATCCACATATGTGTATATAATATGTATTTCTATGATCTTGATAGTTGTAATATTGTGTAGTAAGCTTATTTATGTAACATGATTTATAGGTATTTTCTCGATCGATAGCGTCGCACACAAGTACAATTCTTATATTTTATTATTAACCGATGATGAAAATTGTAGGATTAGCGCGAAAAACCCGTTTATTTCGGACTAAAGCGGACGTGTCTCTAACGACGTTTATCAACGTAAGCCTAATCACGCCTATTGTGATATTCAATGAAAAAAAATCTCACGTAGACACGAAGAGAAGGTGAAGAGAGCGTTATATTGAGCGATTCGTGATTGCGAGAGAAAGCAATAATTCGTTGCGAGATCGAGAAACTTGCCGGGAAGCGAGATATGGAGCGACGATACATATAAAACGAACGCAAATAAAATTTGTGGTACCTATGATATTTCTTCGATATTCCGAGTAAACTGACAAAACAAACGCGACGTGAGTTAACGAGTGGCGGCGCAATTTTAACGTAAATCTCGACGGGGAGGGAAGCTGTGCGCTCACGCGAGATCACAGATCAGCGTTTAATTTCACGACAATTCACCCTGTACGCCGGTAGGCAGACGTAAAGTGACCCTTGAAGAAACTAGTTATAGACCTCGGCGAGGCCAAGATATCCGTTCTAAAAATATCTGTACTCTCAACACGGATGTATTATTTGTGAATAATGCTGCTGTATTGTACATTATCATGTAAATATAAACGCTATGTACATACAAAAAGTTCCCGGCGACGTTGCCCACCTTCCAGAATCGCAAAGTAAACACAATACAATCGAGAATGCGGGAGACTATATGCATTTTCACTTCAAAAAGTCCAAATTTCTCCACGAGAGATGTACCGGCGTTGAAGGATACCGACCAAAAAGATCTGCTAAACTTTTCATACTGTCAAAGTGCATTATTTAATTTTTGTTAAAGGCTCGAAGAGTCGACGAGGACACTTCGGATACGAATCGAATGTAGCTTCCCATAAACTCGATATCAAAATTGTACACCTTAAAGCCCGTATCGGACTACGGATTGAGATTGGGATTAGATTGAAATTTGACCAATCAGAGTAAAAGTTACTGAACTTGAGATTAGTAAACTTCACTGTGATTGGTTAAATTTCAATCTAATCCCAATCCCAATCCGTAGTCTGATACGGGCTTAAGGCCCGGTTTCACCAAACGTCGCTTAACTTTAATTGTTAATTCATGTTTGTCTCTTTCTAGAGTGACAGTTGAGAAGAGACAAAGAACGAATAGAGCTAAGCTTACAGTTAAGCGACGTTGGCGAGACCTTAGCCATGTTACTTGTACATACGAGACACTTGTGTCTGAGCTGTTAAGAAATTTCTTCAAAGACTTACCGAGGACACCATATTGCTGCGGAGTAAGTCTTTCGTCGTTGTCCGGACCACCCGGCACGGAGGAGATGAGTGACGCACGATCGCTAATGTGACTCCTGGTGCTGGCCTCGCTTCTTCTCGCCCAGGACGCTTGCGACAGTACATCTAGACGTGCGGTGTGACACAAAAGGCGTATTATTCTGCTTTGTTGTACAATCGTGAACAGATTTAAGTATATTCAAGTTTTGTGTCGCGTTTAACTTTACAATTAGGTCGATTAGCATAACGCGACGGCGCGTGAAAACGGCATTACCAAAATTAGCGTTCTTGATGTTGCCCAATCTTGTCTTGTAGTCTCTGTAATGCCTCCTGGAGGGTGGGATGGGGTGTCTCCGTCGTCTCTTCAAAAACTGTGCCAGTCCTCCCAGTAATATCGAACCGCCGGCGAAGCAGATGATGAAAATCTACAAGAGAGACACGCGCAATCAACGCGTCCACGCTCGCGCGGCACGGGCCTGAATTACAGCAATGAAATTCCCGCGCGATCGCTCCACGGCTCTGCGACTTTTTTTGCATTATTATGTAATGATCGAGCGCAAATAGCCCAAGTATTTACTCTAACCTTGAGGAGCCGCCGATCTCGCGCTTACCTTTTGCGTGCGAGACAGGTGTACCGCCGGGAACGGGAACATGTAACGCTGACACAGCGCGCCGAAGAATTGCCGCACGTTGAAAAGGGACATTGTCACACTTACTTTGTTATAAACAATATTAACCAAAATTCACGCGTGTCGCCGAGCCGTCCTCGCGCGAAACCTGCCACCTGCGGCGCGACGCCGCGGCTTCGTGATCGATCGCGGCCGGTTGCAAGATCTTACCGATAAAACAGATTTTATTTGCACACACATAGAGGAATTAGGTCCTCTATTACGATAGGATCCTAATATGAGATAGCAGGTTTTCAACGTCCAAATTCAATCACAAATCTTTTTTCGCAACGATTGCACGATCTAACGATCGATTTTCCACTAAACAGATTTCAACCCCAAGGGCAATAAATGCACGGTGCAATCAACAGATGATGCGCCTATTAACTTACAATTAGCAGAAACTCCGCTGTATCATATTAGGAGCCTATCTTATAATAGGAGACTTTCCTTTACCTCCCCTTTTTTTTTACAAAAATTTACTTATTATCTAGTTTAGACCTTCGGGAAAGGACGGAGTCGCTGCCTAGATCAAGTTTCACCCGAGAATAACAAGAAAAGACAAAATCCGGGATGGAACACGTGGAACTTTTTACTCCCTTCGTACAAATATATCTTTCTTCGAAAACAACGCTAAATTATTATACGATCACATATTATCCCAACCGCAGGAGTCGAAGTATTCCTCATCGGTCTCGAGTAACTCTTTAAAATCGTTTGATGTTGACGCTTCCGGAGCTGCAAGTTCCTCCCGTTTCTTGTCGTCTTCCGCGGCTGGAGAATCTTTCGGCTCCTTATCATGTTGCGATCCTTCCTCGGAGGTCCAGGATCTATTCAAGAAACACGTCAAGTCTCGTTGCTTCTTCTCTCTCTGTACTGCAACGTCGACGTTTTCTATCGAGAAATCCTGATTCAGGCCGACCGCGTTCAGGACTCTCATCTTTTTGTTGATCAACGGCCATATGAGATCGTCCGCGGTGTCTCTCGCCACCAAGTATCTGATTACAACGTTACTGTTCTGCCCGATTCTGTGCACCCTGTCTTCCGCCTGGCACAAGATCTGAAAGTGATTTCACACACGTGTTACCGCCGCAAGATTTCTATGTAATTTATTAAGATTCCTTTTTTTTAGAAATGTATTAATTACACCAGGATTCCAAAATAATTCGGTGAAGACCACGAGGTGCGCGGCCGTCAAAGTAACGCCCGCGTTCGCGGCGGTGATTGATAGAACCGCTGCCAGGTAGTCGTCGCGCTCTTGAAATTTGTCGACCTGTAGTTTCCTCTGCTCCGAACTGGTTTTGCCGTCGATTCTTATGTACCTGGTAATTGTCACAGTTGCAATGGCGACATGGCAATAATAGCGAACATGCTTACCGTATCTTCATAGTTTCGGCGACTTCGCAAATGGCATCCAAAACATTTTGATGATGAGCGTACAAGATACATTTTATTCTATTTTCAAACAGGTTCCTAACGTAATCGCTGTAACGTCAACGTTAAATCAATTGAGATATATATTAATGGATTCTTTAAGAAACTTAATGCATCCCTTTATACGCACCCTACTGCCTTCAGTCTTGCGAAACTAGACTCGTTGTAATATTGCAACAGAGCATTATGCCTTTCTAATGCCGTAGCTTTCTTCTGCATTTTCAGCGACATCTCCTTCATTTGCTTGGTGCCAGCCTTGATCAGAGCTGGATCCAAAATAATCACCTGCCTGAAACGCACAAATGAATAAAGTACACTTAAGTTTCTACCGGAGTCTCTCACGTCTCACAAACATGTTCTCATTTATGACCTTATCTTGGGCGGCAACTGGTTTAAAACGTCAACTTTCAGCCTCCGAATCATACAATTAGTCTTCAGCAGCAATTGTAACTCTTGCAAATTTGAAGAACCCGCAAAGTCCCAACCGAACGCAGTCCTCTGCCCCGCGCAATATCGCACGCCGTAGTCTTCATATCTGTAAAGTGATACCTCCGAAATCTGTTTATATAAATGAAGCAAGCTTATGATATATCTATCGCCTTTCTGACTACCTCATGAAACGTGGCACAACAAGGTTGATTTGAGAATACAACTCGATTGGTCTCGACAGAGCCGGAGTGCCCGTGAGCAATACAATATGCCGCGCATGGGCACATATCCGATGAACAGCTTGAAATCTCGCGGTTTTACTGCTCTTCAAAACGTGAGACTCATCCTGCGAAGTTCGAAAAATGCAGTGACAACGGCAATATTAATCTCTGGCTCGTTGAAAATAATATATATATATATATATATATGTATACCAGAATGATAAATCCATAAATATATTTCTCGAGAACGTCTACGGCCCGTGCTAACAAGTCGTACGATATTATGGTGATTTTGTCATCATCGATGCAATCTTTAGTATTTACAAAATGATGAACATAATGTGTGGGCACGGATGGTAAGAACTCGTAAATCGCCTGAGACCACTGGTACCTAAGTAAGTAGAGTATCTTCGGTATTGGCACTCGTCGTGGCAATCGCAAGCAGAACTTACTTGACTGATGAAGGGGCTACAATGAGGAGGGGCCAGCTCTCCTTGAAGTAATGTGCTATGCCTAACGCTTGTATAGTTTTTCCCAAGCCCATATCATCCGCAATCATACAACGACCGCTCTTCGATATACCGTAGCTGGAAAATTAAGAAACAAAATATATTAATAAAGGAATGTAAAGATACGTAAAACAGAAAAATATATATAGACTTGCCAAATGCCATCTCGTTGGAACGGCATTAAAATACTCGTCAACGTTTTATCGATTTTTGACAAATCTTGTTCTGGTATTTGATTGCCCGACTTTAAGTTTCTCTTGAATATCTGAAATAAAAGTATTTTGAAGCACATGCGACATTACGTACGTGTCTGCCCAATCTATTTTTACTTTGTGCTCAACTACCTGAAGAATATTATCCGGTATTCTCGTCACAGGCATCTTGTAGTCGCTGGTCATCAATTTCTGCATTAAACTGTCATGATCGTTTAAATGGAAGCTCCATATTCTCGATTTCGTATCTGCGAAATTAAATGAACATTACAAATGTTTGTTTATGCGCGTCTATATTAAATCAATCAACTTATAGTCACCGTATAGTCTGCTTGGAATTGTTTTAAAGATTTCAATAATCACAGGTACAAACAACGATGTTTCTAACACAAATCTGTCGTCGCTGACCATGTAACATTTTCCCGTTGCCATCGGTTGACTGAAAAATTTTCCAGGCGCTATAGGATTGAAACGATTATTCGACTTGTTCTGTGGCGCAAAATGTCTGCTGCTGTTTGATCTTGACTGTTGGACTGTTGGACTGCTGGACTGTTGACGAGCTGGACTATCCACAGGCGTGATTCCTGTCTTTAACTGGGCTTGCTGTCTCCTTTGCAATGCCGACAGACGCTTCTTTTCAATTTCCTCGGGAGTACATACTTTATCTATTAAAAGACATTTTTTAAAAATCATATCTTAAAGTATTGCTCTCTGAAGACAGCATATTGCTTTCATAGAAGAATCTTTACCCATTTTATTTCCTCTCTTTGGCGCACTTAGGCGATAATAAAAGTAAATATATTATGTTCTCTTCTGTAAACTAGAACAGCTCAAATTATTTGGGGAATGGTAGGATTCGAACCTACAACATACAGAGTTTTCATCCGTCGCCTTATCCGCAAGGCTACCTGCTAGACTCCACAGCTCAAATTATTTGGGGAATGGTAGGATTCGAACCTACAACATAGAGTTCTCGTCCGTCGTTTTATCCGCAAGGCTACCTACTAGACTCCACAGCTCAAATTATTTACATCCTGCAAATAACGATGTGTGAGTGACACAGGAAACGTTTACTAAAAATGTAAGTGCAAATCACGCTTGCAGCTCGTACCACAAAACACGCATTATTTTTGTAGATTCAAATCAAATTAACAAGAAGCAAGCGACGAGCTTCTTAATTTCGCGTGGCAAAAATTAATCAACGTGAAAGGTTACGTTTCTCATCGTAAACAAAAACATCGGCGATCATTCTGTGTAACCTTCGCGTAGCCTTTTTCCCTAACGTGACACGTGCGCGAAGAGGCGGGCGGGTTCCCCCACCACTGCGATCAGCAGTCCATTCTATACGTCGACGCGGCACTGACGGATTCTCTAGGGAAATACGCCTGCAGTTCTTTCTGTTGGATCGCGTGTAAACGCGCGGGCGATTCAAGCCTCGTGAAAAATCGCAAAATCCTCAAAGTGACTCAAACCAGATTTTCTTTCTTCAAAGAGAATATTTACTTTCATTTTAACGTGCACATCACGTCGTATCGTCAACGCCGCGATTTCCGTCGGATGGGATTTTCGCGCGAGGCTCAACATTCCCGGCACGCGCGCAATTTCGAACGACGACCTTCCCTCGCGGCGTGCGCGCGCGTCCCGCGCTCACGAGTCTCGCTCTCGCGAGGTGAGGCAAGTTGACAACCGACGGCCTCGTTGCAAGGTCATGGGCATCGTTAATTATTTCCTCTCTCTGCCGCTCGTTTGTTTACGTCACACGCACGAGATAATTTACGTGGCAATCTGCACGCGCTACCCTCGCCCGAGGTGCTCCGCTGCCGCGACGTTGCGAAGTAATCTCTCCATTTTAGGTTAGGTCTCATCGTTCCCTATATTCAAAGTATCGGAGTTACGACAGCGGATGATCGAGTCATCTATAATTGTCGCCTACTCGTTACGCCTAAGCGAAATGCTATCGGCGCTAGAAATACCGCTGCATCGCCTTAGCAGAGCTCATTAATACCGCAACCGCGTCCACGGGCGTTCATCATGTCAACACAGACGGAAGAGACATCATGTATGCGATCTTGCGATATCACGTGCGTAGCCGATTGACATTTGTGTGACGCGTTAATTTCTGTTGTTTCAGCGAAACCGCATGAATTTGTCGTGCCGAAGAAGTGCGTCAAGACACCGGGCGATCTGCCACTTTGGCAAAAATCCGAGGCTTACTATGTAAGGCAACTTCTGCGGTTGTTAATTTTTTTATTGTAGCTTTGTATTTTTCGCAACTATTGCACACACGATTATGCGATACGCTCTGCATGCGTGTGCACGTTTATATGGTTTTTTTCTATGCAAATTGAAATATTTTTGTAGGAATACCTGGGATTTATTTTAGCCTTGAACGGCGCCGTTCAGGGAAACGCCTTGGACGGGCAGTGCCCGCAGTCGCCTGTAATAAACAACGTTATACAGATGTTAAACAAATTTGACGAATGGATCAAGGAGATTCCACCTACCGAGCAGCCCCAGCGATTTGGCAACAAGTCGTTTCGCACGTGGCACGAGAGGTTGGAGCAGGTGTGTGATTGGTAGTTAAAAATTACCCGTGAGAATATGAAGATTGTAGAAAATTTTCCTAATCGATCTCTCCGTTGCAGAACGCGGTAGAGGAATTGAAACAAGTGTTGCCGGAGGACCTGCATCGTGCGATTCCAGAAATAGTGCAGTATTTATACGAAAGTTTTGGGAATCCTACTCGCATCGACTATGGAACCGGCCACGAGATGGCTTTCCTCATGTTCCTCTGCTGCATGTTCAAGATACACGCGTTTGAGGAAAGCGACAAGATTGCTGTTGTAACAAAAGTGTTCAATAGGTACCTCAGCTTTTACTATTCTGGTTCAACATGCTATGGTGGTCTCTGTTTCATCTCCTGAAAATTACTTAGTCATTTAACGCCCGGTTTCACCGAAGTTGTTTAACATCAAGCTTAGCTTAACTCGTTCTTTGTCTCTTTTCAACTGCTACTTTAGGAAGAGACAAACATGAATTAAACTAAGATTAAAGTTGAACGACGTTTGGTGAAACTGGGCTTAAATCGTTTTCCTTGGCTTTAAGGTATCTGGAATTGGTGCGCAGACTTCAGCTGATATACCGTATGGAGCCAGCGGGTAGTCACGGTGTTTGGAGCTTGGACGATTATCAATTTGTGCCATTCATATGGGGCAGCGGTCAACTCATTGGTACTAACCTTCATATATATTTTCCCCTGTATTTCTTATCGGTGATAAAATACAGTGATTTAGAAGATCTTTTTCGGTTTATAGAATTTGTGATGTTTTATGCGACTTGATATTTTCAGGACATCCACGGATAGAGCCACGTCACTTTGTAGACCAAGGTATCGTGGAATCTTATAGCAAGAAATACATGTTCCTTGGCTGCATCGAGTTTATCTCACAGGTATGGAAAGATGATAGACGTTTATAAGGATACAGTATGTGTAATTTACTGTACATTCTGTCAAATAAATACCGGGAATTGTTCATTTAAAAAGCTCGCATAAAAGGTATGAAGAAGTAAAGTTTTGGCACCATCTGTCAATCAATTTGTTTATAGCTGTTAGTTTTGTTAGTCAATCTCAAGTATGTTCTGCGATTTTTTAAATGGATAGAAATATATCGAACAAAGAGTTTGCCTCAAATTTTGTGTTGCCAACGAAATATCTTGTGCTGAATCGTTGAAAATGTTGAAGAAGACCTACTGATATCAATTGTGCTCTACTAGGTAAAAATAGGTCCTTTCGCTGAGCATTCCAATCAGTTATGGAATGTTAGTGCTGTATCCTCGTGGTCGAAGGTGAATAGTGGTCTTATCAAAATGTATCAGGCGGAGGTAATTATATATATGTAATTCTACATACGTAATGAAAAAGAATTGGCCCTACCATTTGTATTTTCCAGGTGTTGGCAAAGTTTCCCGTTATTCAACACGTTTTCTTTGGTTCTCTGTTACCGTTGACACCAATGGTCCCGAAATGCTCCAAACCGATCGTCGAACCGAATTACAAAGGCGCTCCTGTTGACAACAATCAGCCACCGCCACCAGCGTCGCCGCAATAAAATTTACATGCAAAATAAACATTGTTACCGTGAACTATTTTATCACGCTTCTTAATATTTATTACAAAATTATACATTATTGCCCCTGGCTCACTTTATTCGATGATAGTTTCATCAGTTTCCAATGCATTTATCTAGCTTGTCAGAAGTTCGTATTATATTTGTTACAAAGAGATAGTATCTTTATATTCCGTTAAGAACGATATAAAAGTTAGATATTTAACGACGTAATGCAACTTCGTTTAGGAGATTAGTACTGTGTGTTAAAAGTAATACGCTATTTATGATTCTGTAAGCATCGATTTGCTTAATAAAAACACTAGATTTATATCGCGCAGAAATAAAAAGATCTCACGAGAAACGGCGTATCTTTTAATTTCATTTATAAATATTTTAATTTTCGCGATGTCCCAGCAATTTATTCCAAATTTACAAATCGTGCTGGTACTACTGTGGTTCAGAAATTTTACATGATAGAGAATGTGCGTCACTCCCGAGGACGCATACAACAGGTGGTTGCTTTTCGAGCCATCAAAAATTTGCCGCAAATTGTAAAAAGCAACTCAGCTTTTATAATTTTAATGTACTGACGCGTTCATACATTGTAAATTTATTTTTATACTATAAATTATACAGTTGAAAAATGGCGATCTTATATTATAGGTCCATGTCATGTGTAAACTCGTTAAGTTTTAAGGCCTGTGTCCACGAT